CATCATCACCTCCCGATTCTCTTCCGGGAATGACGGATTATGACGGCCCGAAGCCGTTTGCGACGGGCTCGACGGGGACGGCCCATGGCCGAGTCCGTCAACAGCAACCGGGGAGAAATCCTCTCTTGCAGGCGTACATAGCTGCGCCGCCTCCGCAGAAGTCAACGCCCCCACTGCGCAGTTCTCGACCCCGCAAGCCAGTTTCCAATGCGACTTCTCCGACCGGCTCAGGATCCAAAGTCGTGGAAAGAGTATCCAGTATCCAACGACAGATCACTCGCGACCGTGAGCTGCGAGGATCCCGTCGGGAACGCAAACTGCCCGAGCTAGGTCATGTCGATTTTGCAACCCGGCGGCAGCGAATCCAACAAGCCTTTAATCGAACTGTCCAAGAGAATGAACGAAAAGAGGAAGAAGCAGCGGAACTTCAACGTCAGTTTGAACCGAGAGAAGAAGGGAACAAAGACGACCGCCATCCGGCCTCGCAGGGACAGCTGCAGCAACAAAACCAATTTGATAGCGTGCCTACTCCAACAGCAGAGGATGGAGCCACGGTGATTGACGACCAAGTCCAGACGTGTCATGACGAGCACCAACCACAACCACCCGCGCATCAACATCTAAGTAGTAATAATAATAACGACCACCCATCTATCTCTGAACCTGAACCTTCTCGTTTTCTTCCTTCACTTCACATCGATACCCGTCTTCCGCCATTACCAGAGCTTCCTAGTGCAACGACGGCTATGGATTCTCCCACCTTGGGGCTTCCAATGGTCTCGGGCAGAGACGCCACTGTTCCCCGTTCAGAACCCAAGTCGTCTCACCTGCAACCCATGTCAGCGGTCACCTTAGAATCCACCGACACCCATGTGACGACGCTCGACCCAGAACCCCAGAGTGGGTTGGGCCACCCCCCACAACTGGATACGTCACATCGAACGTTGCTGAGTCAGATCATGCAATTCCGGGAGTCTAGCCCGAGCGATGAATCCTCCTGCGACGAACCAGACTACAGTCTTTCGGACAACGATGAGAAGGAATCTATCCCTATCATGCTCAGGGACGGTGCCCGCTTTGAAGAGTCCGTGAATAGCAACGGCAGTGATGATCAAGACACATGTGATGCATCGGACAATTCGCAGGACCAGGCCGGCGATGAGCCGCCCAGCAACCGCTGGAGCGCAAGCTCCTGGTCTTCTTCGCTTCGTCAACATTTTGCGGAGGCCCGATTCGAGGATGGCAGCGGAGAAGATCTTTCTCACATTGCTGCCTCCGCAGACGACAGTGAAGTGACTACTCAATCATGTTCGGCTTCATCAAGTACGCCACCGTCGGTTATCGGTCACCTTACCGTCACATCGCCACAGCCTTCAGCAGAAGCCTTCGATTCTAAGAATGAACAGACATCTAACCGTAACACCTTCGGGCGTTCGAGCGCTCCAAGTTTGGCACGACTCGGCGGCTGGGATTCCAAGCGGGTCACGCAGCTTTACTTCGAAGAGCTAGCTCGTGGTGGCCGGGGTCCCAACCTATCAGTTCCAGTAGCCAGTTCGTCTCCGGAGCCCCGACGCTCTGATTTTACGGACCAGAGATCGGATGGCCGTACAGACAGTCTCACAGATGATCCGGTCCTTGTCTCAAGCCTTGGCGACGCTTCCGGGACCGAACAGCCTCGGAACTCAGCCACTTTGCTCTTCCGAGATGACTGGGAGCATGCATCTCCGTCCATTGCTGATTGGATGCAGGTTGCAGCCGACAGTGATTCGTCAGAAGGGGAGAGAATTGTCAGGGCTCGTAAACTTAATGACGATCTAGCTCGTTACGAAAAGGTCAAGACACAAACATCCGGTGCAGACGAGTCGGAAAACAGTCTCGGTCTGGCCATCAACGTCCAAGGACCACAGGAGCATAGCTCTTCAGAAGGCAATTCATCTGGACACCATGGTGCACAATCAACTGAGCCGTCTGAGACTACGCCGAAAGAAACTACCACGAGACAACCACCGCCTTTGCCACATCAGCCGCAGACTTTTTCAGATGCACCATCAAGACAAGTGCAGCAGCGGCCATCTTCTCATGTGCCGACACAAAGTGACAATTGCACGCCATTGGGACTTGTCCAGAGCACTGAAAGTAGCGAAAGTTCTTCGCTGCAGTATATTGAAACCACCTCCTCACTTCGAGCTCACGCCGTCGGCTCATCAGTAACTTCTTTGGCTCCTTCTCAGTCAGAGCAGACCAGCCTCGATCTCAAGAGACCCTCGCCATCCCCTGAACAGCGGCGTCTCAAGAAACGACGCCATGTCATCAAGGAATTGGTTGATACGGAATACACCTTCGGCCGAGATATGAAGGTGGTCGACGACATCTACAAAGGAACCTCAAGCTCATGCTTGGATCTTTCAACGGATGATGTCAAGATTCTCTTTGGTAACTCGGATCAAGTGGTTCAGTTTTCCACGGCGTTCCAAGACACACTGAAGCGTTCTGCCAAGAGCATATACGTGATGCCAAAATCTCAACGATGGAGCAGCAAACGTGTACGCAACAGGCAACTGAACGGTGCCAGCGAAGAGCAATCATTCATGCCCGGCACAGAAGCGTCAGACTTGGAGAAAGACCAGGCCACCTTCGTTGGTCAGGCTTTCATGGCGCACATGGCGCAGATGGAGAAGGTTTACGCTGACTACCTGAAAAACCATGATGCCGCCAATAAGAAGCTGCAAATCCTGCAGAAAAACCAGAAGGTGACCATCTGGCTCCAAGAATGTCGTGACTGGGCGTCGGACCTCACGACTGCATGGGACCTAGACTCGCTACTCGTCAAGCCTGTGCAGCGGATTCTCAAGTATCCTCTCTTATTGTCCGAGCTCCTGGACGCGACACCCGCGGAGCATCCTGACCATGCATCGCTGATCAATGCTCTCGAAGAGGTCACTAACATCTCGGTCCGCATCAACGAGATGAAGAAGCGAGCCGATCTTGTGGGCCAAGTGGTTGGCCGCAAGAGGAACCAGTCCGATGTACGAGCCGGTTTGTCTAAGGCATTTGGCCGTCGTTCGGACAAGTTGCGACAGCAAGTCGGCAACGTGGCCGATATGTTTGAAGACAAGGAGTATAACTCGCTGTCACAGCGGTTCGGTGACAGCTACTTCCAGATGCAGGTTGTTATGCGGGATGTTGAGTCGTACACTCAGGAAGCTCAGGGTTCCATGGACCGCTTCAATGAGATTGCCCTTGCTATTGAGAGCTACGTGGATGTGGCGCAGTCTAGGTTTACAGATTTGGAGCAGAGGTGGCGGCAACTGAAGACTGTTGTTTACGATATTATGACAGTAGCGCTGCCTGAACATGTAAGTATTCTTCTCTTGTGGGGTGACAAGAAGCACATGCTAATAGGACTAGCTTGACGTTGTTCGGAAGAGCGTGATTGATCCGATGATTTCACTACTCAAGCTCTACGATGGACCGCAAAGGGTGATGCGCAAACGTGACAAGCGACTTCTGGAATATGTCCGCTTCACTGCCGTCAAGGATCGAGGAGACAAGCCAGACAAGAAGAGTGCCGAACAAGCCGAACAATTTGTGGCCCTAAACGAAACTCTCAAGGATGAATTGCCGAAGCTCTATTCTATGACCGCCAGATTGATGGAGGCGTGTTTGAAGAACTTTGTTCAAATCCAGACCACCTGGCAGAACCTTCTACAGAAGAGGCTCGCGCCCTTGGTCGACTCGTTCCCTGATGATGTTGAGCAGATCTTCAACGAGTGGGCTTCGGACTTTACCTTCTCGGACGCGCAAGTACTGTCACTTGGAATCTGCAACGGCTCATTGCTTGCCGACACGATTGGTCAGCCCAACTACAGCACACCATCTATTGGACCAAAGTCACGGAGGCCGTCCACGGTTAACAGTGCCAGCACACGTGTCGGATCCAACATAGAAGACTCGCCTAAAGTATCTCACGAGTTCAATACGAGCAATCCCTCCTTCCAGTCTCCTGCAGTGGACAGCCAGTCCTTTGTCTCTACCGGCCGCCGTCGTGCTGACTCTGCTGTTTCTGGTCGGGGCACTAGTGCACGTAGTGTTCGGATAGCATCGCCTGAACCAGCGCAGAATGTCACCAGCGCCCCGACCAGCAATCCTATTCCGGAGCCAGTTCCCAGCTTGCCGCAGCTGAGTCTCGAGAGCCCGTTCTTGGGTGACATCATCAACACTTCTGCGAGTGACAACCCAACCACTCCTGCAGGTGGTCGCTACTCTGGCTTCTTCTCATCGGCCATGCCCATGTCCGACAACCCAGAGGACAATGAGCCTGCCCCCATCGACGAGCATCCCAAGGAACCCAAGGTGCTTTTCCTCGCGGCGAGTATCTACGAATTCAATATCGACCGCGCACGTCGCGAAGCGGGCTATCAATACCTGACCTACGTCGCGGGTGAAATATTCGATGTCATTGCCGAAAAGGGTGAATTATGGCTCGCCAGAAACCAAGATGACCCGACACATCAGGTTGGATGGATCTGGAATAAACATTTTGCCAAGTTGTCTGGCTAGGTCTTCGTTTCTTCGTTCTTGTGTTTTTTGTGTTTTTTGTGTTTGTGTTTTTGTTTTTGTACCTGGATGATGGTTAGCGATCTTTAATGGGGCATTAGCAGGGCGTTTGGGTGTTCGAGTCACCGAAATCCCTTCTCTGACTGATTTGTCTTTTATTTCTGTCCAATCTTGTCCAGTTAATGGGCGTTATGTGATTTATTCTCTGTGATATGCTTGCCCTTCCGCTTACTGATCCCACGAGGGGTCAGCTGATTCTGAGGCCAATCCTCTGGAATTTGGATGTACATTTAGATACCCCATGGTTGAGTTAATTCATGTGTATACTTTATATTATACCGAAGAATGGTACTTCGTAGATCATAATGTGCACAGCCACAGGCGCCACAGTGACGTCTTGCGCCTTGCGCCTTGCGCCTCTACATCTACAAAGTACCCATCCCCAGGCGTACTCTGTACATATCTGTTCTTTTCTTGCATTTGTACAGCATACAATCTCTAGCCATATACAATTTTTCTTGGACTACAGAGTACACATAGAGAAGTACTCCGCACACACGAGCAAACAATCCCGCCGGTCCCGCCGACCCATCTCCGTCTCGTCTCCGTTCCCCGGCTTCCGACTGTACGCTGTTACACCCCTCCCTCCGTCCCGCTTTCCTCTCCTCCGTTGACATTTCCTCTGAACGTCCGTCCATATTCGAATCTCGCGAGTTGCATACGCTACTGCGATATACGAGTTCACTGTTCTCGTGATATACGCCATTAACGAAGTGAATCCTTCTGCCTAGATACTGCGCGATGAGAGAAGGCGGATTGGGAAGGTTGCAGAAGAAGATGAGGGGGAGATTTGGGGATATGGTATGCTGTTTTGCTTTGATTCCTGGGTTTTGGAAGGGAGCTGCGTGGTGTTCAGATGGCTAACTGGTGTAGTTGAGTCCGGATGATGCGTATTTAAGCTGTGAGTCGTTCGTCTGATTGCCATACCATGGTGTTCGTGCTGACTTGTGTGGGTAGATCACGATATTCGATGTATGTTATAGCTATAAACAAGTCGTGAATAGAGTGCAGCTGACCAAACAGTGACACGAGAAGACATGCAAACGCTCAAGAATGACTGGCTCACAGATAATGTGGGTGACATGGAACTATCCGCTGGGCTCTGAGCTAATCATCTCCCTTACAGGTTATATCCTTCTGGGAGGAGTGAGTCCTCATTCACCAGTTTCCAAACAGCAGCCACTGATTAGTTGAAAGATACCTTGAACGCGAATTCCTCGTCCAATACAACACCTCCAACATCGTCCTCCTTCGCCCCAGCATGTCCTTCATGATCCTCCAGACTCCGAACCCGCTCTCGTTACGTGAAGCACTCCCCGATTTCACTCACACAACGCACGTCTTCCTCCCCATAAACGACTGCCGCAACGTTACCGAAGCCGAAGGTGGGACGCACTGGTCTCTACTCTTGATTTCGATCGTGGATGGCGTCGCATTCCACTACGACTCGCTCCCACCGGGGAATCACTGGGAAGCGAACACGGCGACGAGAAAGTTTAGTATTCTCCTCAACCGGCCGTTTCAGTTTGTGGCTCTGCGCGACTCGCCGCTACAAGAGAATGGGAGTGACTGCGGGGTGTTTGTGTGTTTGAATATGCGACATTTGTTGCTGAAGCGGTTATTGTCGGCCAATGCTAGTGAGAAGGTTAGCATGAGTTTGGGTGGGAAGAAGGTTGATGCAAGGGCTGGGAGGAAGGAAATTGCGAAGATAATTGAGGGGTTCAGGAAGGAAGGGGAGAGGAGGCGGTCGTATGTTCTTCTTCTGACTGTTGAGGGACATGGCTAACAAAAGCAGGTCAAGTCTCAGCCCCCTAGGAAAGAAATCGCAAAGTCCGCCACGGATCGAATGATGGTACACAATTCCTTTTTATACGGCGTACACGGATGGGAATATGGAATATAACAGAAAAAGCATCACTGGCCCGGTTGTCTTTTTGTCTGTTTCTGTTGCATTGGATAATTATTACACGATTGAATGAGAATGCGAAAGCTATGTTTGCGTTTAATGAGGGAGGGATGGTTATGCTTGCATTGTTGCATTGTACTGGAGGTTATCTATATTTTATTGATAGGTGTGTTTTGACTCTTCTGGATGTGCGTCGTATGATTATATTAAGATCTCCACCCTGCCCGAACTCTATCCCCCTGGCAGAGGATCAATTGAGTTCTTGTCCCCAGGGTATTCTAAACCCTGCTTACCTTGACGTCATTGGATGCCTCAGAGAACCGACCATTCTATACAAACATGCCAGCCGATAACTCACCATGATAACGGCAAATATAGCCCTAAATCAAAGAAGCTGCGCCCAATCCACCAGTCTCTGTTATGCAATATCCATTTTCGGACCCGAGTAGCAAACACCGAGATTCCTCTTCTCCCCACGCTTTTTTGCAGAGATATAGGTGAACTTCGTGCCTTGTTCCTCATCGACAATAGGATTTTCCAATACCCCCGAGAAATTGACAACTTTATGGTCGTCTCTCAGGTGGAAAAGGTTGATTTCCTCGAGTATGGAGAATCCACTAATCCGTAGACACCTGGGAATGGCAATGCACTCTCCTCCTTCCACGAAAATACCCTTGAAATAAATCCTACAGAGACCATCATGATACCGACGCAAGAAGCGCATGAGAGACTGCGCAAGGGATTCTCCAGACATCTGTGACATACTCCTGAGCGTGACCTCTTGTAGGCGAAATGGGAAACCCGCACGCGATAACCAGTGCATAAAGGACACCAAGGCTGAAATCGATCTGCAGCTTCCGGAGGCTCCTCGCGTGCTGGACAAGCTGGAACACCCAGTCGGTGGTTGCAGGCTGCAATGTATGCTTGAGACTGAGCTCTTGGATACTGGGCCATGCAGTGATGAACTCTGGCCTTCGCACAGCACTGATATCGATCCGTGCCATGTTAATGAAATCTATCGTGAATCCGTGCCGGAAACCCACTGAGAACGTCACCACTGGAATTTGTATCTCGATTATAATGCTGAGGATCAGTGTGAGTGCATTACCGGCTGTCAGGAGACCGCCCATATTATCGATCTCGCATGACTCGTTGTGAAATTCAAAAGACCTGCAGTGGGCTAAACGTCGAAGGACGTCTTGCCACTGTTGGACTCCTTTTTGGGGGATGGAAAGATAACCAGATGGATGTTGTAGCTCGCACACAATTCTATTCCCGAAGAAATCATCTTCTTCCGGTCGTCCTTTCACGACTGTTTTCGGACGAGCGGTGCTAGGTCTAAATTCTGGGAGAGGTCTTGTAGCCTCTGCAATGCGGTCAGGGAAAGGTTTGTCCGCACTGTGTGTAGATAAGACCGCGTGAAATAACCCCAGGTGCTTGCATAGATTCTTCCACAGGTCAGGCGCAGAGAGCAAAATTTTGGAGTGTCTAGAAAAGTAGTGATCGCTTGTATCAGTTCCGAGGGCAAATTGGTGAGAAAAGAATATGAACGGTTGTTTATATGTTTGAAATTGTCTTTTATTTTGCGTAGTAAACCACGGCCTTTTCGCACAACCATCCTTGGTTATAGGAGCATCTGTGAAGGTTGCTCCGCACTGCCTTGCCCTATTCATCTTCCATTGAGAGGTTAGATAGCAGTCCCTCGGTCATGTGACGCAAACGTGTGACATGCTTAGGCCTTCATATGAGAACAAAATGCGTTTTATTTTGTATGTCTTTTTGTTATCTCCTCGAATCTCTAAACGATGCATGTCTATGAGCCGCTAGAAAGTTGGGCGTAGACCCCTTTCAGGTAATACACCACTTATATGAGGGAGAAAGGCCAAGTACATGTACAATTCATATCTCGCATCGCACAGTGCTAAGCTCCACGGGCCGGGCCGAGATAGGTTAAACAGTGTCTTGTTGCTATTCTTGCTCTGTTTGAGACATACATCGTTCGGGCCGTGTGCCTATAGTTTGTAGTAGAAGGGACTTGTGATACGATAAGACGGATGTGGTTGAGAAACTAAAGTGTCTTGTGCGTTCGAATGGCGCAATAATAGCCAATAAATGGTTGTATAGGGGGTGTCTGAGAAGTGATTGGATTATTGGAGAATTAGTGACCAGCAATTCTTTCATAATTAGTTACTCAGTACGAGTACTATGAGACCTTTCACATTGGTAACTACATATATCACTGGGTTGCTACTACCATTCCAGTGAAGTGAGTGGAGTCTTGGACAATCCTGGAGTACAGGTAACACTAGGACTGTGCATTGATAATGCGACATTTAGCAACTTCATAAAGATAAGGAGCACATGGAAACCAGTACGGAGTACTCATACAAATCATGCATTTGGTTGAAGGCGTTTGGATGTAAGGTATGGTACTCCTAATATGGAAAGTTATCTATACTCTACTCCCACATAGTATACCTATAAGATCGTAAACTAAGAACACGTGAGAGCTCTCTATAGCTAGTGTTATTACAGATCAATTCGTATGTATACATGCAGGGTGCTTGAACAAACATGGGCTCAAGAGCTTTGATTGCTCCGGGTAGGGCTACGACGCAATATTAATATACGAGATATTCGGTTGTTAAATGAACGCGTCAAATGGCATCGTTACTAAATCAAATCCAACGAATAAAATATACTACCCGAAGGAACAAACAAGCTTAACACCGAACACCATTGAAAGACAATGCGGAGAACAGCAAACGCAAATGAATGACTACTGGTGTGGAATGCGACCAACAACCAAGATCTATAGTATAAATGGACAAACTGGGAAACAAAAAGGGGTATGTGTGCCAATCAATAATGATATCTGATCGTGGACTGATTGAGCAGAGATGTAAAGACACCTTGCATTGAGGGGGCATTAACCGGTATACCGTGCCACTACGGCGGCGTTGGCGTCTGACGGACCTCTGGCTGGCGTACAGAGGCTAGTGAAGGATTGATCGAACGGGCTTGGGCCTGCTGCTGGGATACTACCTCCCGAGCATAGAATTCAACCAACATCGTTCCGTACGACTCCAATTCCTCGACGGGAATCGACAGTCGAAAATCGTTTAAGAGTAGAAATTGCAGTTCTAAATGGTTCAATTCCACCAACGGAAGACCTCCGACCTAAACGAATGAGTGACCGAAATAAGCAAATGGGGAAAAAGAAGTACCTTGGCATATCGAGAATTGGTGTAGAAAACATCAGAAAAGAATTTACTAGCACAGGTCACGCCCGCGATGACCAGCCGATGAATGTTATAGCTATCAACAACGAAGGAATGAGAGAATGGGTCGCCTGCTCCTTGGGGACGTAATGATGGTGAGATAGATGAGGGACTGGTCGGGTCCTGCGCGACCATCCCGGTGGACGAAGGTGGTGTCACTATAGGTGATATGTGCGACGGTTGAGTCGTCCGCTCAGTTTCGGACGGAGAGATGATATTATGAGGGTTGGCGTCATTATTATTCTCGGCCTCTGTATCGGAATAGTTACCCCAACGATGCCGTACCCGGTCAAGGTGTCCCTTATTCACCATTTCGGTCATGCGATCGAAATATACTAACAGACTGAGGAAGACCTCGTAGGTAGTGGGGCAGTATTTATGGATGCGAGTTAGGTAGCTAAGAATCGAAATTCCTGGTACATTTTTGCCATGAAAAGCCAGTACACTGGTGGCCTGAGGGCTGAGGTTGGCCGTACCATCGGGAGAAGGAAGATGCCGATGCATCTGTTCGTGATGGACATCGTTGGTGGTGGTGATTTTAGTTAAGAGGCCCGCGACCATCTCAATGATATCCGTGACCGGCATGGAACTGATTTCGTACTGCCGTTTTTGTTCCCATTGCCCCGGGGTTTGTGAATTCCTCTGTGATTGGGCATGATATTCCTCGTGGGCGAAGCTTCGAACATGGGACAAATCTCGGACTTTGATGCGATTGGGAGAGCTAGCCTCCGATCCCGTGGAAGACCGCAATGGTCGACTCGAGGGTTGTAGTCGAGATGATGCGGGGGACGAGTAGCTTCCTGAACGCGAAGCGGATGTGTGATTAATGTTGCCCGATGGATATGTTGTGGGAAGGCCATGACTGAAAGCAGCGGACGAGGCAGAGGAGGTAACAGAAGAAGAGGGGTTCATTGATGAGGTCGACGGGCGGGGAATGGCGGTCGCAGGTGAGCTTGTGGAGGGAGACGAGGAAGAAGGATACCGCGTGGCGGTTGTCGAATGTTGTTGGACAGAGGGAGAGGAGGTAGTTGATGAATCGTGCGATTGATGGGAGATGTAAGGCGGAACATCGTGGCGTTGCGGCAGGTGGGAGGAGGGACGAGCAGAGCCCCGGGCGGCGGCGGCGGCGGCGGAGGTCGATAGCGGGGCCGCGAACGAGGTGGGGGTGTTGGTAGTGTCGCTGAAGGACGCAGGAGTGGATGTCGATGTTGATCTGGAACTGCCGGGTTCCAATTGTGTCAATGATGAGGCGGCGGCGACAGCTCCGGCTGAGGGGGAATTCGGATGACGCGATGAGGGGGAATACACTGATTGCTGCGAAGGATTTTGATTAACACTGCTTCCCAGCATGATGCCGGACGAGAAGCAGCTGTTGGGGATATCGTTGGTCAAAACGAGGATAACGGATGAGATCGGACTGGTGGAAGTGGCTGCTGGGAACGAGTCCCATAGGGGTTGCGCGTGAGATGCAATGGACTTGAGCCGTTTTGGATAAACAGCTGTCAGCAATTTGAAAAGGATGCTTAAGAAGATATTAATTGATGGATGGAGGTGGCAGGTTGAATGATAGTCACTCACAGAGCCTCAGATGTCAGAGCAGGACGCAAGGACCAGAAATCGGCCTGAGAGATCACCAGCAACCAGCGACAACGGAGAAAGCCATTGCAGAAGATTAACAAGAAGATAATAGAAGAAGAAAAAAAAAAAAAAAAAAAAAAAAAAAAAAAAAAAAAAACGAGAGTGAGATGGTGAGAAGCAGTGGTTGATGGAGGTGGAAAGAGGAGAGAATGGAAGAGGGAGATGAAGGGGACGATGGCTGGATCGCGATGGCGATCACCTAACAGAACCAACTAAGAAGACCAAATGATGACGGGACAGACCCAAAGAGAAAGCAGGATTAAAAATGGAAAAAATACTGGATAGAAAACCAAATAAGTTCCTGAGAATCCAAAGAGGGGCCAGTTATTGCGATTCCATCCGGACAGCATGTATACTACACTCTATTATAGCTAAACACACCGCGGCAATTATCGCAGTTACTCAAACGTATTAATGGTTTTATTGGAACAATTGCTATATATCAACCCACTCATTCTTTGATATTGCTGTATTGACCATTCGCGTCTACCATAAAAGTACACAGGGCTGACGGCCACTTGACGACAGAATATCGCATAGCTTTACAAGGCTCCGAACGGAACAAGGATTGCTACAAAGCTCGACAGACATCTCAACGCAGTTCATTCAATAATCGAGTGCTAACAGAAAACGACATCATGCCCATTAAATACTCATATTCATGACTGCGCACCCGGTCCGGTGTAGCCCGTGTCCGGCAGGTACAAATGTCTCACGGCACCCTTGGATGTCAAGACCACCAGACGAATAACACCTCCTGAGCTACCATCCCACTTGATGGCCTCTTGCAGCGCACCCCGCACAAACTTGATGCCTTCTTCTTCCGTCATGTCCTCTTTCCAGTTTGCGTCACAGTAACCGTAGATGTAGGTCGATCCCGATCCACCGATAGAGAAAGGCTGCTTGTGTAGAGATCCTCCCAAAGGTATCGAGTACACTTGACCACCGTGTCGCGGGTCATATCCGGCAATGATGATTCCAGCGCTGCATCTGCGTTAGAAAAGAGAAGTACATGGACGAATCAGGTAGCCATACCTCAGTCTATCCTTGTTCTCATAGCACAACTCCTGGAACAACGACGCAGCCACCTGGGTGCTGGGAGGCTCGTTGTTGGTAATCCCATACATGTTGAGGTGGTAGGACACAATATCTGCCACTGCCTGTGTATCGGCAGCCGAACCGGATCGACAGCACCAAATGGTATCGTGAACCTGTGTCAATTTGTCGGTGACTCGGTTGGCAATGTATGCTCCGGTGGTCGTCCGACTGTCTGCGCCCAAGATCACACCATCCTTGAAGTTGATTGCCATACTAGTTTCGTTAATTCTATTCGATAGGAAGTCAGGGTGAGGTCGTTCTCACATCGAAGTTCCTAGGCTGTTGTGCGTGGAGAGTTAGTATCTGTCCAGTATGCTGATAACCATTGCTGGTAGCAACTTACTTGACTTCTCCGGTCTTCAGGTGGTTCATATCAACATGAATTCCATCTGCAGCTCCATTAGTATATGCCCATCATGATAACACATTCCCGCATCTGGCAGAACTGACCTTCCCCCAGCATTCCTGTAGTACCGTGACCGATCATCTTGTCTGCTGAACTCAATGAGTGACAAAATCTCACGACAAATAGCAAAAACAGAAAAGACGTAAATATCCGAGATATAACAAGTAATCACAGCCAGATGGTAAGCAAATGGCGGCTGGCAGAGATTAAGAGGGTTGGAAGGTAATGGAGATAAACGCTGGGCGATGATGATGATGATGCTGGAGAGCTTCAGTCGGAGCTTCGCGTAGGCTCGGGCGGTGAGCGTGTTTCAGTCCCCCATTGGCTGCGGAGTCCCTCCCCCCCGCAGGTAGCCTCCTGAACTCCAAGAGAATATCATGGATTCTTCTCTTTTACAACCCCAACTGTCTATGTTTAGATAGACAGAAATTGCTCCCGAGCAGTAATCCAAGCTTTATTACTTTATGTTTATATCTTGAATAACTCATATCACTGCCCAGGGTGGTCCGTCTACGCAGGAAGAACAGTCCGCCGTCTCCTGGCTCGACCACCATGTCCGATTCTCCGCCGCCCCCGACGTCCTGGAGTCTCGCGTCTATGGCCAACAATGCGGTCCAGTTTCTTCGGTTGCCGGTGCTAGCTTCGTCCGGCCTTGCGGTGGTTGCTAGTGGTCTGTTATATTTCAAGCAAAAGTGACGTTATCCCTTTATCTTGTGGGTCTATATATCCCGGTAAACTAACTAGATGAACAGTGAGCTGATCTACCCGCGCAATGTGCCTGTCGACGCTCGTACTAATATACCTAGTCCCCGTCAATTTGGCATCACGGATTATGAAGATCTACAGATTCCTACACCGGATGGGGAATCGTTACATGCTTTGTTTATCCGGCCATCGAACAAGCGTCTGGCGCAGGACGTCACCGTGTTGATGTTTCACGGGAACGCTGGCAATATCGGTCATCGTATTCCTATTGCTAAGATTATGCAGGAGGTGGTTGGCTGTAACGTGTTGATGCTGGAGTATCGTGGCTATGGGCTGTCGACAGGTGTCCCGGACGAAACAGGGCTCAAGGTCGACGCTCAGACAGGTCTTGATTATATCCGCCAACGCGCAGAGACCATGTATACGAAGATCTTGATCTATGGACAGAGTCTGGGTGGTGCAGTGGCTATCAACTTGGTTGCGGACAACCAGGAAAGCGGAGATATTGCAGGGTTGATCTTGGAGAACACCTTTTTGAGTATCCGGAAGTTAATTCCAACGTACGTTCTCCGTCCATTTATTAAGACATAGTATCTAACTCTTTATAGGGTGTTCCCTCCCGCGCGATATCTCGCTCGACTTTGTCACCAACACTGGACTAGTGAAGAAGTTCTGCCTGAGATCACCGATGTACCGATACTGTTCCTAAGCGGTTTGAAAGACGAGCTGGTTCCGTAAGTCACAAATTCGTGTGTTGATAACAACATCATACTTACTTGTGCAGCCCTTCGAATATGACTCAACTTTATGCTGTCTGCAACTCGAATCGCAAATTCTGGCGCACTCTTCCCAACGGTGGCCACAACGATAGTGTTGCCGAACCAGGCTATTTCGAACATATCCTCGAATTTGTTAAGGAAGAAGTAACTTCGAATGGAAAATAATCGTCTCATTCTGCGAACCAGTCTCAAGACCCGTCGACAGCCGGAGCATTTGCCGTGTCAGGCGACTTGCATTTGCCATTCGTGATACCCTAATTCTATCGAACCACCGACCTGCAGCTCCTGTCAACGCGGCCATATTCAATCATGATTTAGATTACTTATTTCCTCGCGACCCTTAATATCCTGGTGGTTCAAAATTATCGCCGGAGCGAACAATGATCGATACTCTACGGATCAAAGCACAGGAACGACCCCGCATTACCTTTGACTACTGCTAATAGCCCCTTTGCCTCATTTATTTCTGCCATCTTCAAACTGGAGTACCCGGCGTGAATATTTTTTGTTTACTTTGCATTAAACCATTTAATTCTCATTTCTAATCTCCCGTCATGTGGCTTGGGTGAATACTGATGTACTGGCGCTTGTTTTGAGTTCTTCGGCCTGGGACGGTATGGGAATGGTCTGGCTGTAGTTTGGATTGGGTTAGGATCTATGTACAGATAGCTTAATATACTGGACTGTTTGAATTGTATTTATTTGGTTGTTGTCGTTTAGATATAGGGTACGTGCATATCAAACAGGGATTGGCTGCATCAACGACATACAAACAGTGAATGAATAGGGGTTACCTGGTCCCCTCAATCCTTGATATCTTTCCATCGATAACTGCTTCTTTTTCTGTCCTAATTGTCTTCTATCTTTCTCTCTTCCTTCTATACTACCACCACTCTTATACTTTTATATACACGCCGGATCCTTTCTCGTCCTGAGTCCTATTCGAAGATACCAAATCCCGTTTTGATTCAGGGTTTGGACATTTGCGATAGCCACCAGGCTTTGGTACGAAACCATTTTTTTTTTCTTCCAGCATTTTTCCATCCTTACATTGTACTAGTCGCAAGCCCTCTCGACGCAACCCAAGAGGCCTACTATGTTCTTCAATCGTGAGCACAGAAGAAATTGGGGAGTTCAAAGATAAAGCTGTAAAGCCACCAGCTCCTTTGAAGCGAGCATGACTGCTGGCAATCGAGTCATGCCAGAGATGCCTCGTTGTGATGACCCAGTTCTTGTCAAAACGCTTTGAACGATACCAACCAAGCACTTCGTAGTTTCGAAAACTGGTCGACATGAGTGACCATGTGGCTTGCTTCCCTGTTGAAAACAACAACACCTGCAAGGGATTTACACCTGAATCAACGGATTTGGCCTTGTCTGTGGCCTATTATACGGCTCTGTTCACGGCTCATAATATATATACACAGTTCCTCAAAGCCAAACTGAGGTAAATGTACAATGGTAGAATATTCTACCAATCTGTTTTTGAGACCATAATGAGTATACTGACAGTATTCTGTAGCAGAGTCTGGTTGTGGCCCTCCGGCACTTCTAATCCGATAACGTCAGATAATTGGCCTTGTCGCCCTGCGTCAACAGCTATAAATAGCTCTATAGCTCGATATGGACAATAAACTCGATTAAATATATAAATATCAACAGCTACGAATCGAGAAGTTACACACCCGAACCGTAGGGTTGAGCTCATCACCCATTCGCTCAAAGAACATGACGATTCTAATCGAACTTCAGAACAGTCAGATTTCACCAATGCAGCTTGGCTGAGCTCAAAACCTCTGGCCACTAATTTTATGTGACAGAAAGAGCCGCGACGCCTGCATGCGTCCGAAAATCTAGGACTAATAAAAATGGCATGGTATAAAGCGAGAAGCAAGTCAGTGCATATCCTAAACGGACTAATCAATCACTCAATTTCCTCCTCGTTCAGCATTTCACCTGGTAAACAAAGCAAACTCCGCCAAAGCACAAGGCGAAATTTGGCGAAAGCTCTTACGGGTACTCATTTTATATCTACATCAGCGCCAAGTGGCGGCTCTTATCGGCCGTCAGTCAATCAGACTTTGGCTGACCTGTCAGAATTTGGACCCTTAAGAGGCATAGATCGTGACAAGTTAAGCTGTACCGATCTGACAGTTGGCATCAAGGAGGATTCTCTGTATGTGTCGATCATATCTACTTTATTTAAAATAGATCTCGCGTGAATATCACCAGATATATACTAATCACTCTGTAAAAAGGTTGCTACGATGTGGAACTTATACATTAGTTTCTCATCATGATAGCGGCTAAAGTCCAAGGGAAGCAAGGGCAAGACTGTACTGTCGCACCTGTCTATCAACTCGGCGCGCAGCATCATAAGAGGCGAGCCCTACCATTACCACGGGGTTACGAGACACTTTCAACGGCATGTGGAGCTTCATAGAAGCAGCTGAATTAAACCCGAGCTGCCTAGACACTGTTCATATGTGTGACCAAAGCACTGGATCTACCCAAGGCAGGTATAATCGGCTGAAAAAAAATTAGTACTCTTTGCCACATTTGGCTCTGTATGCAAGAATCCTGCAAGTCAAACCCTATCAACCGACTTGTTCAATCAAATGGACCCAGAAGAACGCTTGGTGGAAGATGATACGAACCAAACTGGCTAGGATTTCGCGTTATTGACCAAATTGCCAAATCCATGCTTAATGACGCTTATACAATATGGATCAAATTGTCTTTGAAAGGTTGGGTTGCTCTGGAAATCAGTTCTGAGGCTGTTAAGGCGCTATGAGAGTCCACCCGGAAAGTCCGATCAATCACCACCCCAATCCACACAGAGTGCCAACAGGAATTGGCATGATTCTCCGGTATGATGCCAGTATTAAAAGCGATAAGATATCTTTTGAGCACAGTCTATCAGCGCCTCTCAGCAATGGGCGATCTTTAATAATCTTCCGCGGATATTATGAAAATTGTCATTATTATGCCTATGAATTTTTGTTTCGGCTTTGGGTAATTAACAGACGGCTAGCAGGTGACAGCTAGTATACTATCCAAAAAAATGGCCCGATCATGGCAGGCAAGCTTTATTGCACGAGGGCCGAACGGTCCCCAAAGGCTAAGAGATGGTTCACCGGGATTGTGACTTATCAACATCCAAACGTTGATGTCAACACGAATTTTGGTACCCAGACGTTGAATATCTGAGCCCTGGATCCTAAATCAAGGGACCGCAGGCTTTCAGGTAGTGTGGGGAATAAATCTGCAATATTCACGAACGCCCTTGTCAGCATTAGCTCGATAAGCGAGGCAGTTAGATGCTTGATGAGAACGGCAATAGGGTCCCCCTTGGTCGTAATTATTGTACCTGATGCCAGTTTGCAATCTGACTAACTTGAGACAGGGCCATGAGAATGTCGCAAGTGTGGCACAACTTCTACCACAGCATTTCAGATTTTATCCAACTGTGTCCACAGGTACTGCGACGGTGAAATTCTACTTCCATAAACCCATCCCAGGAATTATGACATGAAAGGAAACTACCGAGTCTGGAAATCCATTCTTCTGAGCTCGCCGGAGCCTGTGGCGCCTTGTCCAGAGTGCCAGCTCTGTGGGGTCTGGGACATCAAGAACTACACAGAGATGAGATGGAGTGTGAAAATGTTCGCAGCATGTCTGCTACGGGAGTGGAACAGTGCACTGACGCCTCACCCCGCTGTTCTTATAGCAGTTCAGTTGCCCACCTTGGCATGCATTGTTAAGAGACATGGACTTGTCTGACTTCAGCTTGTATGCAATTATTCTCGGTATTCTTCGTGACGACAGCCAAGCATGCATTTGTCGAGTCCGCCACACTGGTACATGGGGCCTTCTATATACTTCTGGACGAGCATCTCCTAAGTATCAAGTCATCCACAGCCATAGTTAGTACCCAAAATTCTCCGGATTCTAACACCGTACACTCAAGGATCCCAAGAGACCCCGGGTTTCCCGCGACTATTCACATCAATTGCCGGCTCTGGCCGTTCTCGAAGAGGTGAGAAGTAAGAAATGTGAGAGTTCGGTTTCTAACAATTACTAGGAGCTGCCATGCTAATAAATCCAGCACTAGCTGCATATAAGTGTGATCATTCTACGTACTGGATCAGCTATGGTGAAGGCAATTTTTATACCAGCATGAGCCTGGTTTGAGTGGCACCAGTCCAAGCGTGGAAAATGAGGTTTGTCAAAAATACCCTGCCGTGACTGGGTAGTTAGTGCACTACATGGACGACGCGATGCATAGAGGGAGATATTCCCGCGTTCTAAAATACTCCTAAGGGCCACTCGAAACCTATCCTTCCTCGCGTGATAAGTTAGACCTCGCCCTCACCCGCGGGTAACCCTCGGAGGGTCACCCTAATACCCTCATTTTGAGGGTTGAGGGTCTGGCTCTCTTACCCGCAGTGAGGGTCCAGGTCAGGTCTTGACCCTCCGAGGGTGACCCGCGGGTTACCCGCGGGTCATCAAACAAGACAAACAGTGGAGACTCATGTCCTGCATAATTTATGCAGGCCTTGGCTGTAATTATGTGTATCTCATTTACAGTTACATCATCACATATTGACAGTAGAAAGAAGATTTCTGTGATTGATATTGATCAGGTGACAAGACTTCATTCTTTTAGACCAAGGCTAGCTACAGTACTATTCTTAATTTCTTATTGAACCTCATACCCCTCAAGAAGTCTCGGGTGTTTCCGAACTCTCCCTGACATGCGCTGTTGTGGGAGTGGAAGAGTAGGCTCATCATCCTCATTTTCACAGCCTCCCTCTGGCATAGATGCAATACTCCTTTGCTGCTTCCCCTGGCTCTTTCCACCTGGAACTTGGCTAATTTGCTGTATCTGGATCAAATCCCCCTCATCATCTTCCTCATTATCACTAATTGGATCAAATTCACTTGCTTTGGTGTCTTTTTCCTCTCTGTCCGCCTGTACCTCTTCATAGGAGAGATACTCATTGATCATTGCCCTCTGTTCTTCCTTGAGATCAAACCGGGATGTACACATAAAAAGCATTAGGTCTTGGATAGTTCCAGGGCTGAGAGAGCCTCGTTGATAGTGGCAGACATCTCGAGCAGAGTTAAAGAGCCGCTCTACACCAGCACCAGTGGCAGGGATT